ACTTTATTTTTAAACTTTTATTGGTACGTTTTAAGTGTATTAAAACCTCCGCCCTGTAAATACACCACTGATAATAGTCTAGAAGGGAAACTGTTTTTGATACCTACTCACTCGTTATGACATAACACTATATGATATACTATGATAAACGAGTACGCGATCCTTGGTATATGTTGAATCGACACGACGCGGGTGTTTTGCGGTATAAACCATATTTCAGGCAACAATGAGTTGTACGAAAAAAGTTGCGAGGGATGTATACCATAGCTGCGTCGTGCGTGGTCCGTCCGGATGTCGCGGTCGGTGGCAGTGGCGTTGGGCCCACCGCCGAGGCTGTCGTCGGTGGCGTAGGCGTGCGGTGGCAGACTTCCGTGCGGACTTCCGAGCGCGGACCGCGACCGCAACAGCGCCAAGACGGCGACGGCCGACACCTGCGCTGCAGTCAACGAAGCCATCACTGCGATCGCGGATATTGCTGCTCGTGCTCAGCAAGTATAGAATCCCGAGGACCGATGGAGCCGTTGTCGGTCGACGTAGACGGTGTACAGAGGTAGGCGACGAGAACGGGGACGTGCGGCCAGATAACGTGCTCAACGCCTCTCGTCCGATTCGAATCAGTTGTACGTTTTGCGGAGGTGCGTCGACGGCTTGTCACTATGAAAAAAAAAACCAACGTGACTTGTGCGAAACGCGTATATTATATTATGATTATTATCGTCGTTGTTGTTTATATACCGTCGCCACATTTTCCTCCACCTCAACCACCTCCACCGATTGTTGCTCCTTCTCCTCGTCGTCATCACCGTCGTCGTCATAGGTACTCTCCCGTTGCCGATTCGCGGTACACGATGTGGGATGACCGTTATCGCGGCGTAAAAAAGAATAATACAAATATTATGTCCTTTCCTGTTTGTTTTCATTAATCGCTCGCGCCAACATCACAACAACGTGTTATTTGTTGTCGTATGTCGACCTGTAATAATATATGCGACATGCATAACATTATCAGCTATACGCGTATAATGTATATACCTACACACACGTGTTATGCATACAGGATGGTTCGTTTGACATATTTTGTCTCACTTAACGTACTCTTCCTATTGCCAATGTTGATTTTTGAATTTGTCGAAGGAATGGTGTTCATTTACACTGATTACACTTATGCGGTTTGAAGCAGTTCAAATAAGTATCACTACATAATACATATAGGGATGGATTGAATACCTATGTGAAAAAAGTATCTAGATTCTATAAGCGTTTAGATTGAATAATGTAAATATAATGCTATGCATATAGAATATAGGTACAGTGTCTAAGAGTTTATTATTGTCCAAGACCCAAGATGGATTTTCGTAAACAATTATTATTTATTACAGTTCCTGGTTAATTCGCTAAAATATAATATAATTTTTAAGTTAATTTCTTATAATATTAAGGTGGGAGGGGGGTGGGCTCCGGAAACGAACCTTTTTGCCTCTTTAACTCGGGTAGCCAATAGACTTAACGGCTTTTAAACATATGTGGCTACGTGTTAAATGGTAATATAGTTTTGTATACTTATTAATATTCTAAAATTAATTTTGTACACATTACCAATGTATACGTTTTTCAAACAGTCGTACAATTATATATTTGATGGCTGAAATGGCAAGATCTCCACGGAATTCGTGGTCCAAGTTAAACTTATCGGTACATTCTTGAGAAAATGTCCGTAATAGATGAATTCTACTACTTTGGACTAGGAAATTGAAAACTTAAAAATAATAACAGTCATGAAAAACTAATAGAAAAATTGATGTATGTTAATTGAGATTTGAGATGGTTAACTGTACTATGATAATCGTAGAGAAATTCGGCAAGAAAGTTCGACAGGAATAAGAAAATCCACCGAGACATAAAGAGCGATCGGAAACGAAATCGCTCTGTATGCATACAGTACGGCGATTAATCGTGCCGCGGTATTATAATATGTGTGCCGAGTGTTGGGAAACGTAACGTTTATCGACCCAATTAAATTGTCAACACGCGGCCGGCGCTGTACCGTTGCATAATGGACGAGCGCAAAATGAGTTTTCGATAATACATCGTCACAATAATAATATTATAATCGGCGCAGGTTGACCCGGTGCAAGACCGAGGACGCGACGACGCGTGTCCCTGCACGGGTGACCTGCGTGATCGGCCCAGACTTTTTAGTGGTCGTTATCATCGCACACCGCGAGGACTGCTGTAGAGTAGGTCACGGATGATATAAATTCGAAATGTTGAAAATAATAATATCATATTATATAGGCACCGTGCTTTCGCGGCATTCGGAGCCACCGCCGTTGTTTTACATTTTAATTGAATGGCGTTACGTATATTTTAATATATTATTATGTAGGTGCTTATTATTAAGTAGAAAGGTCGTGTATTATGTAGGTATGCATTTATTGGTTTAAAAATTTCAAGTACGCGCACTCGACGTACACGGAAATTCACTTTGCATAAGTCATGCTTGCGCGCCACTCACACCTAGTATATATACGAACAAGGCTTGTTTTTTTTTTTAAACAAGTACCTATACATGTAAACCTACGTCCTACTTATATATTCAGAGACCTATATTCAGAATGTTTGAGTCCATAAGTGTCCAGGTCATTATTTTTGTCCCGCCACCCTTTTTATAAATGTCAATTGTTAACAATATAAATTAATTATGTGCATGTTATATAATTGGATAGGACAAACAAATACAATAACTATTAATTGGATTCCAAACAAGCAATGTCAATATAAACATATCAATGTAAAATGTAAGAAAATATAATTTATAATTATTAGAGAATACATTTTTATCTTAATGGACGTAGAATAATAATTGTATTATTTTTATTCTGCAAGAAGATAATTGGCCCAGCTAAACATGTTCGTATAATCTTTATATTGAATCAAGGGAGATCTACCGTCATGGCTTTACACAGTCACATCGCTACACTTGAATAAGTTGAGAATAATATTAATTATTATAATATATTATTAAACCAAATAAAAAAAATCTAGCCAAATTTGCAGACTCAGCAGCGAGCAGCCCAATATTGAGGTGAAATTAATAAGCTAGCTTAATGTACAAAATTGTCAGCCAAGTAATCACAATATTTTTTTTATCATTCATCATCAGGATAGTTCGACGTATTAAAATGATTCACAAAACATTCTGATATTTCATGTGTATTGTATCTATAAATAATAATCTAAAAGTGTGTCTGATCCATTGTTCTATTCAGATGACGTTTTATTATAATCTACAGATGGTCCAAATTTTTGAATACTTCGACAACAAGTTAGAATAAAATTGAATCTACACGACTACAACCCACTATTTCAGTGTTAGGCTAAATTTTTTCGACCGATTTGTGAATTGTCATTTCAAAGTATGAGTGTAACTCGGTGGGCCGGATTATATTTTGGTATATTTTGTATTCAACTTAGGTACTCGTTCTAAGCCAATGTGAGAGGTTTAGTAGTACTAGTAAAAGTTCTAAGACTCGGTGGGATGGTATACTTACCCTATCCGGCACTAGTACCGAACTAGTCTCTTTTCATCACTTGTTCCTTGTATTTCTACACATGCAGGTAATCGGTAAAGTAAAATATATATTATTACAAATTGTATTTCAATATAACAATATACGTTAAACATACTCAGTATAACTACTAAGTGATAAATCCAATATTATTGACATCAAAATACTTCCGCATATTCCCCTGTTTGGTACCTATTAATCCGTCACTGATACATCGTACCAGTAGTATAAACAATAACTATAACACTATATACCACATATAACAGTGATATAATAATTTATCTGTTTATATTATAAACATAACGCAAAACGTCGTCAGTAGATAAACAAGAAATTCGATAAATTAAAAAAAATAGTGCAAAATTTATTGATTAAAATCTACTAGTTTCAAGTAAAATAGATTGAAAAACTTACTGGACGAGAAATGTGAAAAAGGTATGTGAGCCCTTAACCTAACTTCCCAGTGACACTCACACCTCCTATATACTGCAGCATCGGAGAGTTTAGCTTTCGATTCGGGCAGCTTATTTAGTTTCAACACTCTCTAGATCGACGACGCCATCACACGCACAAGTGTTTTAGATGCTTATTATTGAATATTTGAACACACGATTTGTTTGTTCTGGCGGCAACGAATTGAAAAAAAATCGATTAACTGTGGTATCTGTGATCTGTCTATTTGGGATCGTACAGTTAGCTCTCGATTTTCTGCAAATTAGGGGGGCATGGCATAAGTGAATTCTGCGGTTAAGCCTGTTAATACCCAAGTTTAAAACTGCAATCTATCTCGACGATCACGACGATCACGTTTATAAGATACCTCAGAAGGTCTAAACTGGCCTCACACGTTTTGACTTTTATCTGTGGTTCAGACTTCAGATCACTGGTCAATGGTCATTCGGTGAACAGTTGATCGACATAAGACTATTAAGACTTGTCTTAATGCCTTCTGGGATCTAAGTGCTGTAAGTGAGTTGCTTACAGTGAATGACTTGTGGGCCTGTGGCATATCGCATACGTCACATGTGTGAGGACTGAGGAGTGCGCTTGCCCAAACACTAACCAGACACTTTAGAGTGGTAGACGGCGGTCCTATCTGTCTGACTCGTACCTTAAAAATTATACTGTTGTCTACACTACCTATACAATTATCGAGGGAGATGGTAGTACCCTCCCAAGAAATATATAAATGGTGACCAATAGCATATTATGTAGCGACGAGGTAGAAAATATCATCGAATAAAGAGATCTGAGATACTGCTGTTTTTAGCTTTTTAAATCATAACTATGTATAAATTAATATTTGTGTAATAATATAATATTTTGTGTAAAGGAAGATTTACATTTTTTGTACGGGGGTAAGTGCCCCATTAGGAGGGGGGATGTCCTAGATAAAACAATATTAATCACTATATAATCACCACTCACAACTGATTTTCACCTTATCTAAAATTGATAACAAAGAGGCACATGTGACATGTGAATACAATATTAAATAATATACGAGGTATGCGATAGATTCATTAATAAAATATCATTATATTATATAGATCGATGAAAACCAGTCAGACTCTAAAATAAAATACTTTGTGGTACTAAATATTGTTATAGAATTTACAGGCTAATCAGAATATTAGAATATTTCATTATTATTTATTTTTATTAATCTCTTATTCTTATAATCTTATTACTAAATGTATAATAACATATAGAGTAAGCATGGAGTCAAATTTTTAAGGTAGGTTTAAAATAGTTTTTTGTTGGTAGATTTCAGTGTGCAGTTATAAATAAAATGCGCCTCAAACGCCACCAAAAAGCTGAACGCAATATCAACTTCTACTGCGTTAGCTTTGGTTTTCGAAAACCGTTTCAAATACTAGTGGATGGCACCTTTTGCATGGCTTCAGCACAAGTAATTATATCTACATAATTATATCATAGATACCTTCCTGGTTGTCTGATGTATTGCTAAAATGGTTTTTTGGTAAAACATTTTTCAGAATAGAGTGCAATTACGTGAAGATATTCCCAAATATTTGGGTGGTGATGTAAAATTTTTAACTACTCAGTGTGTTGTTCTTGAGACAGAAGCTTTGGGTAAGTATATAATACAGCTTAGTCTCATTTTTGTAAAATTAATTAATTCCATTTTGTAGGCGCCGCTGTTCGACCGGCTATGCACATTGTAAAGAATTTTGGTATTCATAAATGTGGACACGAAAAGAAACCTATATCCGGAGCAAGTTGTCTAACATCAATGGTTAAAGATAATATGAAAACAAGGTAATAAATAGTAATTTACAGAACCTGTACATTATACCATTAAAACATTATTTAATGCACCATAATATAATTTAATATGATATATTGAAATATGTGCTGTAAGAGGTATGTCCTTTAAGATTTTAAACATAAAAAATAGCAACCAAATGTTTTATTTTTTTTCATACTTATTATAATTTATCAGGTATTATATAAAATTAGTTAAAAAAAATTATATTAATGGAGAACGTTTGTTGGGCTGTTAAACAACTTGATTGTATTTAGAAAATATTGATTAATTTGTTATCATCTTAACTTATTAAACTTTAATTTAAAAATAATTTAAAATAAATTTAATTTTTAGATGCAAAAATCGAATTCATCAAACATAGCTCTAAAATTGAAAAAATAGCCTTAGAAAACACAAAAAATAACTAAAATTTGCTACCTATTTAAAACTTTAAATTCAATTTGTATTCTTTTCTCAATGTTTAATCGAATAAGTTATTATTAAAATGTAAATGTATAATGAAATGTAATGCTAATGCCATGAGTCATCAAAGCTAACACTTATAATTTTAAAACCAATAAAAAAAAAACTTTATCTAGAATCCTTCATGCATAGCTTACTCTGCTATTATATTTTTATAATAATATTATCAAATGCTAAGGAATCCAAGCCCTGGTAATTAAATAGTAAACAGTTAATTAATAATCTAATCTGTTTCATCAATATGTATAATATACACTTATTTAACATTTTATATTATATTATAACTATATTTACGTGGTAACTTTTTTATATGTTTATAAGTGTGCAACTAATTATTTAATAATTGAATGACAAAATTAAAATTGTTACAGATATATTATTGCTACTCAAGATAAGTCACTTCAAAATGCCCTTTACGTTCTACCTGCTGTCCCTGTTATGTATTTTAATGGTCTAAGTGTAATTCTGAAAGCACCATCTCCAACCTCTATTGATCATGCCAAACAAAAGCGACAATCTAGGTATGAATATAGGCTGTACACCTAAATTTATGTATGTAACTTTGATTTAATGATTTTCATTTTATTTTTAGATTTAATTTAACTGAACATGAAACCAATGTTTTGACAAGTATGAAAAGTTCAATTACAACAGACTTAATCAGTAGTGAAGAATTGAAAGATTACCCTGGGGTATTTAAAAGAGCTAAAGGACCAAATCCACTTTCATGCAAACCCAAAAAGAAGAAAATTGTTGAAGATAATAATATACCCAAAGTAGAAAATAAAATAAAACGTAAAAGAAATAGAGTTAAAATACCTAAACATGTTAAAGAAGAGTTAAAAAAAATGAATAAGCCCATTTCAATCTCATAAAAATGTTATTACAAAAAAAAATAATATGTACAGTGTAAACATTATATTTTGATTTTTATGACATTTTTAATATTAACGTTTATTAATCAATTTATTATTATTTTTATTTGATAAGTGTATTGATGAATTGGTAATTGTTTTTAAATATTAATAACTAATTTAATATACTTGACTATATTTTATTATGCTGAATAATAATGCTGGTTTATATTAAACGGTTAATACATTATAATTTTAAGTTTAGCTATTCCAAAACACTTTACTTCTAAATTGTGCCCATAAAAAATAAGTTATTGATCTTGGTACAATAAATTATATACACTATTGGTCATAATATACTTGGTATTTATTTTAGGATATCCCTCAAACTTAAAGTGTGATCAATTGTTATCTTTAGTTATACATCACAACAGTATTGAAAATTGTCAAAATACACTTTTCATGCTCACCCCCAATTTCTCCTAAAATAATGGATTTATTCAAATCCTGATTTTTGTAATTTTAAAGTATACTACACCACATTTTAAAATCCATGAGATATTTTGTTCTGCTGAAGAATTGTCATGTGACAATACAAACATTACAAACTGTTTTTTTTACCTCAATGAGAACTCCTCATTTTTCTGTTAATTATTTAGTGGGTCATTTTTTTTGAAAATGTTGACGTATGGTTTAAAATTTGGGCTAGTAGTTTCTCAGTTACATAAATATTTATACCAGAGATGATAGTCCTTAAAAATAGTTTTCCAAAAAAATTAAATAGACGTAATATTGGATATAGTATTTGTTATACTTAGACCATTTTTACAAATTCTTAATGTTGATTCAATAATATAATGTAATATAATATATATAATATACTAACGAGGATATATTATCACAGATATATACAATTTATGTATCTATATATCTATAGTTTTAAATAACTAAGGATTGAATATATTTCTGGATTGAGTACGGTACCGGGTACATAAAGAAATTTAAAGTTTAAAGTATACAAAAGATGAGATGATGGTGCTTTACAAACAACTTTCTGATGCATGTAAATATAAGCATCAATGAAACAGAACACTGTTCTCAATATATATTTGTTGGGTCAGATAAATTAAGCATTAAGTTATTAAATGAATTCAAAAAAATATACGTTATAGAAAAACAAAACTTCCTTAGGAATTGTTGTATAGCATTAATAATGACAATCTAAATACATTAACATTAGATTATAAAGGTGTTCAAGACTGAACGACCGCAGTCAACTAATACTCATATAGAAAGTAGTACGATTATAAAAATGCGTTGTTTTGTGGTTATGACAAGGTTGTGTAAGAAACGCAGTTTGAAATTCGAATTTACCGCGTGAATGATGATAACAGCGATATGCTTTCGCCACTGTGTTTTTCATTCCATGATATTTTTGAGGTTACTTTGATCAAAACAAGAAACTACCACTACACCTCCACTTCATGACGGCGAAGCGTTCGGTAACGTCCCGTTCTTTCGCGTCGTGACTATCTCATATACAACTACAGCACTCCCGAATCCATCATGGTCCTCGTCGACTTAAAGGTGAGTGAATATTTTTCATCCGATTCGATCGACTGAACGCCAGGACGCTCGCTTTCTGACGGCCGTTTACCGTCGGCAGATCGACTTCGTTAAACATATATACCGTCAATCCCTTTAATTTTTATCATCGCACCGGGCTAGTATTCGTTTGAATACTCAGACTCAGCAGCCACAAATTGGTTCTGGGGCTCTAAATAACCGGTGCCACATCATGTTCTTATATTGCAATATACCCTCACGCTTTACTGAGGCGTAATACTCATTAAGAAGACATAGTTTCCAAATATGGAGAATAAATTGTTATTTTCCCTCGACCCAAAGATATCATGATTGTGTTTTGTGTTGCAGAAGGGAGGCAACAAGTCTTCGGAGAAGACGAAAAATCGTATGCGTGAATTGAGAATTCGTAAATTATGTTTGAACATCTGTGTTGGTGAATCTGGTGACAAGCTCACTCGTGCCGCTAAGGTTAGTTGTTTTTACTGTTCTTGGTTTTTGTTTATCTATAGTTAAGGTTTACTAATGTTTGTGTTTTTGACTTTTAGGTGTTGGAACAGTTAACTGGCCAACAACCAGTATTCTCCAAAGCTCGTTATACGGTCAGATCTTTCAGTATCCGAAGAAATGAAAAAATTGCAGTGCATTGCACAGTACGTGGTGCTAAGGCTGAAGAAATCTTGGAACGAGGATTAAAAGTTGGTCTAATTTTTGGTGTCATTTCTGACTTTTTAATTTAACTGAATTATATATTAAAAGGTTCGTGAATACGAATTGAGGCGAGAAAATTTCTCAGACACCGGTAACTTCGGTTTTGGTATTCAAGAACACATTGATTTGGGTATCAAATACGACCCAAGCATTGGTATCTATGGTTTAGATTTCTTCGTTGTCTTAGGACGTCAAGGTAAGCTTGTTTTATTAAATCTAAATAATTAACAAATGTTAGGAGTGTTACCCTATTTATTTTATGTATTTATTTTTTACTATGGTAAAATAATAATAAAATAATTATGCTTATGATGTTCATTTTTCCACACATAAAGTAATTTGATAGGGTATTACATTGTCTTATGGTCTACATACCACTTTTTGATAAATGTTTCTTCCCACTCATCACTGAATTCGTTGGATTAATTTTAATTTTCTTTTGGATAGTGTTGCAAAGTACACAGAAAAAAAAAGTTTTTAGTACTAAACCCTGAGTTTCAAAATTGTTTTTATAATGATATTCTATACACCCCTTGCATTTTACTGGCTCTGATATTGATAATTATTATTGTATGAGTAATGAAGCTGATGTTAATGCATTAATCCTACCTTTTTAAGAGTGACAGAAATAAGTTTCATTTCTTAAATAATTCAAATTAAAATTGACAATTTGTTTGATTTTTGTTTATCTTGATCATGCTTTTTGTGCATTTGTATGTAATTCGGTTCCAAGTATTCTGTACACATATTTTATACATATATATATATTTTTCACATTAACCAACAGTTCAAGTTAAATTTACTGTTTTACATTTTTAATAAATAAAATAATCTTAAATCAGAGCAGAGACAATCATCATTTTTTGGTTCTTTCCGATTCCAATAAATCTTATTTTTTAAATGTATATCATTATTTTTAAAAAATTAATTTTCATTTTCATTTAGATACCTAGGAGCAAAATGTGCATAATTTTTTTATATTTCAAGCATATTTTTACAATGCATTCATTTTGTTGTTGTTTTTTTTTGAGAATAAATATCATCCATTCCTTAAAGGAGATGAGATAACATTGATACTATTTTGAATTACATTAATATTACTACTGAAGTATTATGAAATGCCAAGCAAGTTAGATAGGTCAAATAATATTTAGTCCCAGGTATATCTACTTTAATGTAATCCATATTTTAATAATTTACTTTGCTTTTCCTTTTTTTTCCCATTTATCAAAAGATACATAAAATCAATCTTATATAATAACGAGCTGTTAATTTTTTGGTTGTAAAATCATACAAATTAAAAGTTACCATAATAATGTAAATTGTTTATATACTACGTTCAAATTATGAACCGTAGTCAGCTACTACCAGTTTTCATTGGGTCATTGTCAGACTACACCAGTTTGTTCTTATTGAATCTTGTATCTGTATACTTGCTTCGTGGTAGTGGTTACCCTAGTTAGTGGATGGCCAAATTGGCCATCTACCACTTTTCTTATCTTCAAATATCATAACAGTCAATTATCATAGGGAACTTGTACAACTTAACATATACTTTGTAGGCTCATTATAAGGTTATAAAATAGGCCTCTGTGTATTTTTTTGAGTACCTTACAAAAACACTTCCTACGGCCGTAAACATATTAAATTTGCTTTTTTCGCAAAAGTTAGGAATATAATTAACATATTAAGCTCTATTGGGGGAGGTATTTAAGACTCGACAAAAAAACCTTAGTTAGAATAAATAAAAAGTGTTACACGGATTGGTAAATCTTAAGTATATTATACATTTTCCCAAAACTTAAAATATATAATATTTAATTTTAAATTATTGTATTAGGTTTCAACGTAGCTCACAGAAGGAGGAAGCAAGGCAAAGTTGGTTACCAACATAGACTTAACAAAGAAGACGCGATGAAGTGGTTCCAAACTAAAGTAATTGTCTTATTCACTGTTATTTATTTTATTCCTAAACTCATAATTTTTTTTTTTTTAGTATGACGGAATCATTTTAGCAGGGAAGAAAAACTAATATTAATTGTATTGTATATGCAATGCAAATCCAAAAAATATACATACATGTTGTTTTTCCAAACAAACAGTCTTGTTTTATTTAGCACTATAAACATTCATCATCAATTATATTTCCTTTCAAATAATAAACGATATTCCTTAAAACAAATTCAATAATGAATTTTATATTTATAAATTTATTGGGATTAGATAATAATAAAGACTGCAGTTTCTGGCTTCTGCTACAATACAATTTTATGTTTAACTACATTTTTTAATGCATTCACCTGTGGTGACCTTAGACAACATAGTATTGATACAGCAATTTAGTTGAGTTATTTACACAATTTCAATAGTTAAATGTTAATGATATATTTAGACGCACACAATTTAATGTTTTGTAGTTCAACATTTTTCATGTGTATTCCAATAAATGTTATCTATAAAAATAATATTTCCTATTAATATATTACACGCTTTGAAGTATCATCTGATCTGATTTGATGATAGTAGCACAATTGTTTTATCATAATCCTCTGAAAATACTATGTTTTAAGCTTTTAGATGGCCCTTCTGGTCTTGATATCAGCTATGAACTGATTTGTTGAAGTTTTTGATTATAGTTTAATCAAAAAAAGTAAAGTATTTAGGGTATGTCTATGCTGTAAAGTGGTTAGAAAATCGATTTTCACTCTAGACGTCCGACTTGTTGGGTACTAACAGGGTTTTTGGATTCGCCCTTTTTACATTCAAAGGA